AGCATTTAATAATCCCAAAACAAAACAAAGATCCATTTTATGTATTAACAATTAAGAACAACTAAAACAAATACTAAACCAAATTTAATGACATTTTGAAAATCCCTATGTCTTATAAAAAAATAATTATTAATGTATTATGATATTCACCACGGGCATTATTATAATTATAGTCCATGACTATCAAAACTCTTGTATTCCTTTTTTAGCTGTTGTGTTTCTTTTTTACTTACCTTTGGATCTTAATGATCAAAATTGTGCCATCATAATTTTTTTGTTTAAATTGGCATTTGCAAAAAGACATTTAAATGTTGTACTATCACCACCTGAGTAAATAATATTATTAATTGAAAAACAAAAATACAAATACAATAACAAAGCATTAACAAGATCTTCCAAAATGTAACCAAAACTTTTTTTGTAACCACCTGCCTTAATAAAATGAAATTTTTAATAAACAAAACAAAAAAACGACATAGTTTTAGAAAAGAAAAATGTGTTCATTTATTTCAAGTCAAAGTTGTCTAGATTTTTTTAATCCAAAACTTGGTTGGCAGTTCCTTTAATGTCATTGAAAAGATTATTTTTAAAAAATCCACGCCTTGAAGATCATTAAAAAAATCCAGTCGAAAATATTTCCTTTTAAAAATGCTGTCTAGACCTATTTCATTTCTCAAAAAAAAATACATTATTTCCCAAATCAAATAGTGAAAGTTTCATTCAAATATCTCCATCCATCGTCGAGTTATGGCCATTTGAAGTTGAGCAAAATATAGCTGCTTTTTCTAACGCCTAAAAGTATGCTCTAAAATTTCGCAAACAAACATGGAAACACAAAGAAAACAATCTGGCAACACATGTGCAGTTTTATGTTTTTGTGGAATTGCAATTTCTTTAGTTTTTCCATTTGCGGTAATAGGCAAACAGAATCGTGTAGCAGCTACATTTTGATTGGGATTGCGGAAATATTGTAGTTTTTATTTGTGTATCAATAAAATATATGAGCATTTAATTTTTTTATTAAAATAAAAATACCAGGATAACTGAATTGTATAGCAGTTTTAAATTTTAGGCCACGAAAGACCTTGGTGGTCTTTGAAAAAATTATTTTTTTAAAAAACCAGGCCTTTGTGGTATTTTTAAAAAAAAGCTTTTTAAAAACCAGGCCTTAGTGGTCTTTGAAAAAATTTCGTTTAAAAAAAATTAAAAAAATATATTTTTTAAGAAACCACGCTTTTGTTTTGTTAAAAAAATATTTTTTAAAAAAAAATCTTTTTTATAAATAAAACACGTTTTTGTTTGAAAAAAATATTTTTTCAAAAAAAAAATCTTTTTTAAAAAACAACGCCTTGCTGGAATTTGAAAAAATCTTTTGAAAACAATTCTTTTTTTAAAAAACTACACCTTGATCTTACCTTAGCTGGCTTTCGTTCCATAAGCCGAGCTTAAAAAAGATTTTCAGGCGTGTAGGTCTTTTGCGCAGTTTTTCCAATTTGAAAGACCATATTCGGCAACGTTGTCTTCCACTTAATCTTTCCATCTTATTCGTGGCCTTCCCCTTTTGCGTGAACCATCAGCTGGTTCGCTTTTATATGCCTTCTGGGCTGTGGCATCTTCATCCATTCTCACAACATGACCTAGCCAACGTAGTCGCTGCAGCTCAATATGTCTAACAGTGTCGATGTCCGAGAATAGCTGGTACAACTCATGGTTCATTCGACGGCGTTATTCACCGTCAACGCAGATCGGCCAATAGATCTTTCGGAGAATTTTTCAAACACTCTAAGAGCTGCCTCATCTGTTTGCGCAAGTACCCATGCTTCAGATCCATATAACAGCACGGGTAGTATCAGCGTCTTGTAGAGTGTAAGTTTGCGTTGTTTGCTCAGACCATAGTACCATTTGTTGGCCATTAATATCCTTCTCCGAATTTCAAAACTGATGTCATTCATTTTATTTATGGCGGTACCAACGTGTATCAAATCTTTGACTACCTCGAAGCTGTAGTTCTCAAGTTTCACAGTTGGTCCGAGTCTACAGGACGTCTTGCGCGTTGATGCCATTACCTTAGTCTTCTCGCCGTTTACTGCCAGACCCACTTTGGCAGACTCCTTTTCAATTTGTTCAAAGGTGGCTGTTACCGCTCGCAATGTTCGTCCCATTATATCGATGTCATCGGCGTAGGCGAGTAACATGTGTTGTTTGGTGTACAGAGTGCCATTTTTGTTCACCTTTGCGTCTCGTATGACCTTTTCCAGCAGGATGTTAAAAAGATCACACGACAAACTGTCACCTTGTCTTAATCCTCGTTCGGTATTAAAGGGCTCCGAGAGGTCCTCTCCGACTTTAACTGCTGACCTTGTGCCACATAAAGTTATCCTGTGTAGCCATATTGATTTTGCAGGAATGCCAAACGCAGACATGGCTTTAAACACCTCTGAACGAATAGGGCTGTCGAATGCGGCTTTATAGTCGACAAATAGGTGGAATGTGTCGTTGTGTTTTTCGTGGGTTTTTTTCCAGGATTTAGCGCAGAGTGATAATCTGGTCGATGGTGGATTTGCCAGGTCTGAAGCGCCATTGGTATGGTCCAATAATGCCATTGACCATTGGCTTCAGTTGTTCACACAGTACGCTGGATAGCACTTTATATGCGATGGGAAGGAGACTTATTCCTCTATAGTTGCCACATATCGTCTTGTCTCCTTTTTTGTGCACGGGACACAGGATGCTGAGGTTCCAATCATTGGGCATGCATTCTTCTAGCCAAATTGTACTAATCAGCTGGTGCATGCTGCTGACCAGCATCTGAACACCAGTCTTGAATAGTTCGGCTTGTAACCCATCGGCACCTGCTGTTTTATTATTCTTCAGCCGATTGATTGCTATTCTGACTCCATCTTGGCTAGGTGGTATATACTATATACCCTCATCTATTATTGGTTCTGGGGTATCCTCTTCACTTCTACTATTTGTCTGTATCTGTCACCAGGTTTCCTTCTTCATCTCTGCAGGATGATGTGCCTGCACCAAAGCCTTCGGTTTGGTGTTTTACCGTTGGTAGAATTTTCGTGTACAACGTGCGCACATTCCAAGTGCAGATTCGCAGATCGTGGTCCATTATACGTTTGCGGGGGTCATCAACATTAAGTGGGTTTGGTTTTCTGTTTCTTTGCTTTTTCATAGTAGGTTCGGTTTTCTGAGTGTGGGCAACTAACCCGACGCCTCAACCCATTTTTTATAGTTCTTATGGGTGAACTCGCGGACCCTATTAGCTCACTATTTCATGGGGTGATGAAAATAGCTACCCCACGGGGAGGTCAGTGTCCACAATTGAGATGAAAGAGAGACCAAGATAAGCCTGGATTTCGCCATGTTAAAGCCAACCAGAGCCGTTGCTTGATCTTTGAAAAAAAATCTTTTTTTTAAAAAACCAAATCTTGGTGTTGTTTGAAAAAAATCTTTTTTTAAATCACCACTTGGTGTTTTTTGAAGCAATTATTTTTTAAAAAACCACGCCTTGTTGGATCTTTGAAAAAAATTGTTTTTAAAAATTTCACGCCTTGCCTTGTTCGTACTTCAAAAAATATTTTTTAATCTACAATTGTAAAAAAACCCAAAAATTATTTCCATTATTAATTGTATTTTTTATTTATTAATTTATTTTTTTGAGTATGTCTTAACGTTTGTTTATTTTTTACTTTGTCTTTATGTTTCATTACAGTAGTTGGTTGTTTATTTTTTTATAGGTTATGTTATTTCCTTTTTGTGTTATATTAATTATAGAATGTATGTATATATATAGAGTATGTTTAATAATTATAATAGTATGAGTATGAGGGTCAACATGGGTGTGTGTGTGCTTACATTTATGTATGTACATAAATAATATTTTTATTATTATATATAGTACATATAATTTTTTCTATATAAAATCAATAAATTATGACTAAAAACATTTTAATTTTTTTTTTAAATTTTGTGCCACAAAAAATTGTAATTCGAAAAATAAACTGTGCCGTTTAACATTGCCCTAAGAGTTGTTGCCTAGTTATTTTTTCCATTTTTGTTTTGTCTAGCTCCCCCACGCTTCTTCTCCTCTTGCCTTGTTTGATAATATCATTTATTTAAAGCTTTTTGTTTTTTTTTTTTAATTTTTAAAATAATCAACAATGCGTCTTAGGTGTGTGTGTGTGGGAGGTTCTTTACAATATGTTTTCGTGTTTTTTTTTTTTTTTTTTTTGTTTTAATTTATAAATTATATTTATAATTGCAAAAGGCATTTTTTTAATTGGGTATAACGAGTTTTAATATCAGGAGTATTTTTTTAACAAAAATAAAATATTAACAATTATTTAGGTTAAGTTACAATTAAAAGAAAATATATTAATTATAGATTAAATATTTGTGAGTGTTTGTGGAGAGGTGGATGTTTCAAAATGTAAATATTGTTTTAAAATATTTTCTGTGGATTTTTTATTTTTATTATATTCGTTTTACAAGAAATTAAATTCAATATCCTTTTCATTTTGTGCTATAACAAACTCTTCTCATCTTGCACTGAGGGGGAGACCCAGCTCCCCAATTGAAAAGAAAAAAATCAAAATTATAATTTTAAAAAACTTAACAAAAATTAAGGTCTATTATGCGTGTGTTATATGTTTTTTTAATTCAATAAATACTTAGCTCTACATTTTACAATGAGTAGTATTAATAATAAAAAGAGGAGCGAGCGAGTGAGTGAGTAGTTTTGTTATGAGTTACCTAAATTATCGTTTACTATTATTTTTCTTGTTAGCTCAAAAAGGACGATTGTTAGTTACTGATTACATATTTGTTGTTGTTTGTTTGTTTTGAGTGTATTTTGTTGTTGTTGTTATATTGTATTCAATTTTGTTTATAAATAACGCCATAGTTTTTCGTCTTCTTTTTTTGTCATAGAGAGTAGTAGCTGAGTCTATGGAATTGGGGTTTTGTATTCGATTATCCTTAACAGCCTGGGTCAAATTATTCATCTTCGGCCTCGGTAATTGTTGTGTTTTTTATGGAAGTCTCCTTTTTCATAAGCAGTTGGTTATAGTGCTGAAAAAAAAACAAATTTGAATTTAATATAGGAAATGAAATCAACACCACACTACTACATACGTCTTCATTTTGTATGCGTATTATTCTATGTTGGATTTTTGGGGCCAATTGGCAGCTGGCCTGTTCCAAGTCATCGAGGGAAGCACGACGTAACATCTGGAATGAGAAGAAACATAAAAAGTCAGATCAACTCGAAAAAAATTACAAACATTTAGTATATTTTTTTTAATCCAAATTAAAAAAAATATTTAAAAAAAGCCGATTTTTTTAATCTCCAATTTTGAAAAAATAATTTTTTTGTTTAAATGCTATTTTTTATACCCTTCACCACCCTGTGGTACAGGGTATTATGTCTATGCGCATATGTTTGTAACAGGCAAAAGGAAACGAGATAAACTTTATAAGTCGATTTATGCATGTCCGTCCGTCCGTTTGTCTGTCCATGTTAAATTGTAAACAAAGTACAGGTCGCATTTATGATCCGATTTGGATGAAATTTGGTATAGGTCACTTGTTTAGCCCAAGGACGAACCCTATTGAAATTGTGAAAAATTGGTTCAGATTTAGATATAGCTCCCATATATATTTTCGTCCGATTTAAGGTAAATGGTGCACCAAAGTCCTTAAACATCTTCCGATTTGCACGAAATTTGGCACAGCGTACTGAATTCAGCCTAGACTGATGTGTTCAAAGTTTCATGAAAATTGGTCCAGATTTAGATATAACTCCCATATATAGTTTCGACCGACTTTATGAAATTAGTGTACCAAAGTCCCTATATACCTTTCGATTTGCACGGAATTTTTCATAACGTACTGAATTGAGCCTAGAATGATGTATGCCAAGTTTCATGAAAATCGGTCCAGATTTAGATATACCTTCCATATATATTTTCATCCGATTTAATATAAATAGTGCACAAGTCCCTATATATATCATTCGATTTGCACGAAATTTTGCATAACGTACTGAATTGAGCCTAGAATGATGTTTGCCAAGTTTCATGAAAATCGGTCCAGATTTAGATATAGCTCCCATATATATATTTTCGTCCGATTTAATGTAAATGGTGCGACAAAGATCCTATGAACCTTTCGATTTCCACGAAATTTGGCACAGAGTACTGACTTAGGTCCAGAATGATGTATGCTAAGTTTCGAGAAAATCGGTTCAGATTTAGATATAGCTCCCATATATATTTTCGTCCTATTTAAGGTAAATGGGGCACCAATGTCCCTATATATCGTTCGATTTGTGCGAAATTTGGCATAGGATACTGAATTGAGTCTAGAATGATGTATGCAAAATTTTGTGAAAATCGGTTCAGATTTAGATATAGCTTCCATATATATTTTTGTCCGATTTAAGGTAAATGGTGCCCTAAAGTCCCATATATCATTCGATTTGCACGAAATTTGGCGCAGCGTACTGAATTAAGCCTAGAATGACGATTGCTAAGTTTCGTGAAAATCGGTTCGGATTTATATATAGCTCCCATAAATATTTTCGTCCGATTTTTTTGCAAATGGTGCATCAAAGTGTCAAATTGAGGCCGATTGATATGAAATTTTGCACAACGTACCGAAATTAGGATAGACTAACGCGTGCCAAGTTTTATTGAAATCGGCTCAGATTTCGATATAGCTCCCATATATATTTTCGTCCGATTTTATGTAAATGGTGCACCGAAGTCCATATATATCTTCCGATTTGCACGAAATTTGGCATAGCGTAGAATGATGTGCGATAAGCTTCGTGAAAATCGGTCCAGATTTAGATATAGCTCTCATATATATTTCGTCCGTAAAAATCGGTTCAATGAAATGAAATTTAGCATAAGTTCCAGAAAGGCATAAAAATCTTATATTCAAGTTCGTTCAATTTCATGCCAATGTTTTTTAGAAAAGTCGGAGTCTGTTAGGAGACATATGTAGAATATACCCAAAGTGGTGAAGGGTATTATATAGTCGGCCCAGTCCGACTTTACTACTTTCCTTACTGGTTTTAAATCTATGTCTTTAAAAAAATATTTTTTTTAAATCTATGTCTTTGGGAAAAAAATATTTTCTTAAAAAAAATATTCTTTAAAAATCCAAGCCTCTGTGGGTCTTGAAAAAAAATCCTTCTTTACAAATACACGCCTGCCTACCTTTGAGCAATTCGTATTCGATAAGTCTATTGATTTTGTTTGGTGGCCCGACAATTTTCGTATCGGCGATGGACCGTCCAGTTCGAGATTATCCAACATTTGTACCATACTGTGGCGGCGGGACAGCGTTACCAATGATTGTCGATGTTTGGTGTGGTGGCCACCCTTGCCGGTGCGTAAATTTATTGCTTTAAAGTGATTTTGTACGGTTAGGCCCAGTTCGGGGCAGGAATCATCATCCATCTGCAAAGAAGAAAACAAAACAAATTAATACAAAATTTCAGACAAGTATGATCATGCCCCCTACTACTCACCAATACTTTAGCGTCCTTAAACATAGTAAAACCATCACAGCCATTGTAAATGTAACTTTTAATACAGATTTTATATTTTTGTTCCATATTTAAATATTCATCACCCACTTGCACCAGCTGGGGATCGATGCGTTTGCCTGGTGGTTTGGAGGGATCAAAGGCGAAGGTTACACCAGATACCTAAAAGAAAAAAAATTAATAAGTAAAAAAACAGATTAACATTTTATTTGCTATGGTTCTTACCTGAGGAAATCGACCCTCTAATTTCGGATAACCGGATACGGAATTTTCCAATGCCTCATATAGGCATTTACCGGTAATTTCCAACAAAATCAAAGGATCTCTCATGGGTATAATGTTGACCAAATCTCTCATAGTAAATGGCCCGGGCGGATGTATTTGATCCGAACGAAATGTACCCGAATTAATGAGAGCCACATCCGCTCCCGTTGCTGCCAGTGCCACATCACACACCCAATCACCCAAATTCGTTTCCTGAGTACGTATGGCTGAAAACCGGCCATCCAGTTCCACACTAAAGTTACCCAAAACTTCAGTCATTTTAGCCTCTATTACTTCGGAGTACGTGGCCAATTCCTTTTTCAACTCTTCATCCTCGGGGTATTTGGCCGTAACATCTACCGCCTCCACATCAATTTTCAACTTTCCATTTTCATCCCTTTCCTTGTGTATGGTAATTTTTGAGAATTGCCGAAAATCTGTACCGGATTTAATGATTTTAATGCCATTGACCTCCTTTATCTCATAGACATGATCATGACCACCCAGAATGAGATCAATGCCTGGGCAATGTTCGGCTAAATTAATGTCATTAGGCGTACGCATATGCGTCAGAGCAATAATTAATTCACAGCCTTCGTTACGCAGTTCCTCGGCCAGTTTATTTCCCGCCTGAACATAATCAATGTAGGTCACCTCTTTCGGATCGATGGTGGGCAGGGTTTCAAGCCATTCCTTCTCCACCAAACCGATTAGGCCAATCGATATTTGATTGTGAAATATGTAATGGGAAATTTTTCCACCACCCAACGGCCGTCCGGTTTCATTGTCCACCACATTGGACATCAGCCAGGGGAAGTTGGTCTTTTTGATGAGTTCCACAAGGACATCTAAGCCATGGTCTGGAATTAAGATAATAGAGAATTAATAATTAGACATTAGTGGAACCTCCAAAAATATTTTTTTTTAAATCCATGAATTGGTGGAAATTAAAAAAAAAATTATTTTTTTAAAAAGTTTGAAAAAAAAATTTAATATTTTTTGGAATTTGAAAAAAATTTTGGAATTTGAAAAAATATTTTCATTAAAAAAATTTAAATATTTTTTTGGGCAAATATTCTTTAAATAACTTTTTTATAATTTTTTTTTAATATTTTTTTTTTTAATTTTTTTGTTTTGGTTTTTAATTTTTTTTTTTTTTTTTGAACTCACCAAAATCATGATTTCCAAACACCGCACAATGTGTTCCAATTTTATTGAGTACCGGCACCATTTGTTCACCCTGGGTAAAGGTACTTACTGGAAAAAATAGTAGATAGTAGTAGAAGATATTTATTAAAAAATCCAATTCCCTATTTGGTCCACAATCGACTACTTACACATGCTGGGCGAAAAAATATCACCACTAAATAAAACCAAAGGATTATCAACATCAAATGTCCTGACGGCTGTACAAAATCGTGTCGCTCCACCAATGGGCTCTACTTCTGTTGTCGGATCCACATTATAGACATCGTTATAGTGCAGTATGGTCAAGGGTTTATTTTCCTGATCTGAGGACATTTTCAAGAGGTTTTTCGATTTTTCCAATTGCGTGATAATCGATGTGGAACGATGATAGCCAGCTGTAAAGTTGTCAACACGACTACGGGCCCGTGGACTTTGCGGCTGACTCAGTGAAGGTCTTGAACTGCGTGATAAATCTTGATTTGATAGAGATTTGGTGTCGTATTTGGCCTCGTCTGTTACCGCACCAGGACCACCACCACAGGCTGTGGTTGCTGTCGGAGATAATAGTTCGGGATCGTCCAAATCAAATTCGTTGGAGAGGAAATTCGGATTGGAACTTTGGATTTGTGTTACGGCCCGTTTGCCAGCTTCGCGAACCTCTATGGAAGCCTATGTCGGGGAGAGAGAGGGATTTTTATTATTTTTCAGATTTTTTTTATGGATGGATAAGTCCATAGAGAAAGCTTTTTTATACAGCGCACACACACACAGAGTGACACATTGATACATAGCCAGAAAACGCAAAATAGAATTGTGGAGAAAATAGGGAAATTCAAATCTAAAAAAGAAAAAATAAACGAAAAACGAAGCTACCAATTATTTTGGGGAATCCCCTTTCAAAATTATAATTGAATTTCAATACTTCAACTAAAAACTTGTTTTTTTTTTTGGATATGTACACTACATGAAATTCAAATAAGTACAGGATTTTCACAATAAAATTCTAATACGAAATTCGAAATTTTCGAAAATAAAATTCGAAATTTTCGAATATAAATTTCAAAATTATTCGAATATAAAATTCGATATATTCGAATATAAAATTCTATATATTCGAATATAAAATTCGAAATATTAGAATATAAAATTCGAAATATTTTAATATAAAATTTGAAATATTCGAATATAAAATTCGAAATATTCGAAAATAAAATTCGAAATATTCGAACATAAAATTCGAAATTTTCGAATATAAAATTCGAAATATTCGAATATTAAATTCGAAATTTTCGAACATAAAATTCGAATTATTCGAATAAAAAAATCGACATATTCGAATATGAAATTCGAAATTATTTGAATATAAAATTCGAAATATTCGAATATAAATTTCAAAATTATTCGAATATAAAATTCGAATTATTCAAATATGAAATTCGAATAATTCGAAATTTTTATGTGAAAATCATATTTAAATTCCATTAAATTCAGGGGAAAATTTTAAAAATTACAAACCAAAAATCAAAAATAGGAATAGTGGGAGAGTGAGTTGAAAAAAAAAATCTAAAATAAAACACACAATACAACAACAATTATTTTTTACAACACTGAGAGATAAAGAGAACTATTTTTTTTTTGAAATTATTATTTTTGTCCACCTGTTTTAACCATCCAACCACATTCCGCAATCCTTTTGTGACCTCGGTCGCCTCATTTATGGCCGTCGAACTGTGTTCAACGATATCACCCAATTTCGTTCGCATTTGACCCGATGCTTGTGATGTAATATCGGCCATGATCAAACTGCTATATAGAAGTTTTTTTGTTGTTGTTGGTCGATTCGGGGGGTTTTTTTTTTGGCGGGGGAGAAAATTTGTAGGGGAAATATTTTTAATAAATATTCAATTTGTTTAAAAAAAGTAACAAAATTAAAAATATATAGAAAAATTCATTTTTGTTAATAACAAAAAATTGGTGATATTGAAATGATACGAGGTTGCCAATTTTGTGGAGCAGACATGAAAAAGTAGTCCTCAGAATTAAAGAATTTACACCAAAGCACCAAATAAAGTTCGGAATCCACTTAAATATATTTAAAAAATTTAGATTTCAATAAAAAAAAATTTTATGAAAATATTTTGAAAAAATTTTGAAAAATTTTTTAAAAAATTATTTTAATCCAAACATTTTTTAAATATTTCTGAAATAATATTTTCCAAAAAAAAAAATATTCTTTCAAAAAAATTTCAAAATATTGGAAAAATCCCCATTCCGGACCAATCTTCAATTTATGCGCAGTTCTTAATATTTCAATGTTTTTTGTTTTGATTCGAAATAAAAAAATATATTAAGAAGAAAAACTTCTGCCCCTGCTGATAAGAAATTAAAGCTTTCAACGTTCAAGCCTATACACTTTCACTTAATTCCGAACGGCGATCAGTATATAATAAACTGTCGTCGACTGATTACAAAGGCGGATTTTAAAAGAGAACTGAAAAAATAATTGAATTGAAAAAAAAACTATTTCAGAATTTGTGTCCAGTTGATAAAGAAAATTAAAAATAAAAAAATTGAAATCGGAACGGATGAAAAAATAACCACAGGAAATGAGATTCCTCCAAATACTCTTCCTATTACTGGCCTTGGCTGTAATAAGCCAGGCCAGACGACATCATGGCGGTGGAGGTGTTGACAAATTTGGCCGCAGCCATCTTCATCATCGTGGATCTCTAATTCACCATAGACGTCACAAGTTCCATGGCCCCTATGGCCAATATGTCAATCATTATGATCGCCATCATTTGAAGTTTGCCCATCGGGGTCATGGTTGGAGTAAATCGGTGGCGGATAAACCTCGATCATTCTTGGCTACGGAAGAGGCAATTGAAGAAGTGCCAAACAAAAAAGAAATTCTAAATGACCCCAATAATGAAAGGGACGAAGATGGGATGGCATCTGTTGGTGACATTGATCACCAAGAAGATGGTCAGCTGGGGGTGGGTCATCGTCGTAGTGGTTTATGGAAGCCACGTTTCAAACATCATAGATCTTCAAGTAGACATACTGGAAATGATCAGGAACATTTGGATGAGGAAAATTCAGGATCACATAGATGCCCCCATCGTCATGGTCGTCATGGAGGACGATATCACCATAATACTCAGGTTTATCCTGAGGTTGAACCAGCTAAAAATGAAATTGAATCCCCCAATGAAGAAGTAGACGACAAAGTGAATGATGAAGATAAAAGAGAGGTGGGGTGTAGAGGTTATCATCGTCGTCATCGTGGTGGTGGAGGTCGTCGTCACCATTGGAGGCATCATCATGACGATGGAAGTGATGTCGATGAAATAAATTCCCAAGAAAACAATGACAACCACCCTGCATTCCATAGACGACGTAATGGAGGACGATTTTTCCATATAAAATCTCAAGATCCCAATGGGGATACACTAAATGTAGATAAGGATGCTGATATAAATACCGATAGTGATGAAGAATATTATGGATCACGTAGAAGATGGCACAGTCGCCACAGACATAATCATCATCATCACAGGAGAACACATTCGAAACCGGAAATATTTGAAGAGGATTATAAGGATTTGGATGTAAATTCTTCATCAAATGAAAATCTTGGAACTACGGAAAAAGTTATGATCGAGAATACAACTGAATCTATTATCGACAAAATTGATGTGAGATTGGCCGTTTGAGGTCCTTCGAAATGCTGCGGCAAATAATTGTAAGTGGAAATGAGATTTTTTTCTTTAATTTCAAGAGATAATAATTCAATTATTTAATTTTTATTTTCAGATAAGCTCAAGGGATAATTTCGGAAAAAGAAAAGGACCTAATAATAAAACTTAGAAATGTAATTCACAACATTTGTAAGCATGGAAGAAGTTTAAAGAATTATAATAAAAACTGAGTCGTATAGAGGAGCCTTATTTTTTTCATTTTAAAAATTCGGACCTTATAGGAGCGCTGAAAACTTTTATTTTAGATATCCACGCCTTTCAAAATATTTGAAAAAATATTTTTAAAAAATGTACGCCTTGAAAAAATATTTTTAAACCAATAAGGAAAGTTCAAAAGTCGGACGGGGCCGACTATATGATACCCTTCACCACTTTTGGGTACATACAAGAGATATTAATATCTACAATATCCTGTAGTTTGAACAGACATAGAATCTTAGGAGTATCATTGAGATGGAATCGGGCGAAATTAAATCTGCTATCTAGATCTAAATATTTGATCTAATTGAACTATTGAACCCATACACATACCATTCTGAAATCAATGAAAAATTACAAGTCAAACGGGCAGACTTACATTCTTTGGTGTAAAATTCGTTTGAAATCCAGTAACATTATGTATGGGAGCTATATATAAACAAAATCTGAACCGATTTCAACAAACCTTATGACACATAATTTTTTCCTCAATTGCATTCGCTATGCAAAATTTTGCTCAATCGAACAAAAATTGGGAGTATCATTCACAACAAATCGGACGAAACTATATATGGGAGCTATATATAAATCTGAACCGATTTTAACAAATCTTCCAGACATCAATCTGGACCTAATTCAGAACTCTCTACAAAATTTTGTCCCAATCGGACAAATATTGGGTGTTTCTTGCATCATTCACATAAAATCGGACGAAACTATATATGAGAGCTATATGTAAATCTGAACCGATATCAACAAAACTTCGCAGACATTAGTCTGGACCTGATTCAGTACTCTGTGCAAAATCTTATCCCAATCGGACAAATATTGGGAGTTTGGTGTATCATTCACAAAAAATCGGACGAAAATATATATGGGAGCTATATCTAAATCTGGGCCGATTTTCGGGAAACTTAACACACATCATTCTACACTTAAATTTCGTTCAAATCGAAGGATATATAAGGACTTTGGCGCACCATTTACATAAAATAGGACGAAAATATATATGGGAGCTATATCTAAATCTGAACCGATTATTCCCAATTTCAATAGGGTTCGTCCTTGGGCCCAATAAGTGATCTATGCCAAATTTCATCCAATTCGGATCACAAATGCGACCTGTACATTGTTTAAAATTTAACATGGATAGACAGACGGACATGCATAAATCAGAAAGTGATTCTATGCATATTCTCAAAAGGAACCATGTGTCTATTTCGTTTCCTTTTGCCTGTTACAAACATATGCACAATGACATAATATCCTGTGCCACAGTGTGGTGAAGGGTATAAAATTCCACCCCTTGAAAAAATTTATTTCAAAAAAATAATATTCTTTAACAAATCCACGCCTTGAAAAAATATTCTTTAAAAAATCCACGCCTTGAAAAAATATTCTTTAAAAAATCCACGCCTTGAAAAAATATTCTTTAAAAAATCCACGCCTTGAAAAAATATTCTTTAAAAAATCCACGCCTTGAAAAAATATTCTTTAAAAAATCCACGCCTTGAAAAAATATTCTTTAAAAAATCCACGCCTTGAAAAAATATTCTTTAAAAAATCCACGCCTTGAAAAAATATTCTTTAAAAAATCCACGCCTTGAAAAAATATTCTTTAAAAAATCCACGCCTTGAAAAAATATTCTTTAAAAAATCCACGCCTTGAAAAAATATTCTTTAAAAAATCCACGCCTTGAAAAAATATTCTTTAAAAAATCCACGCCTTGAAAAAATATTCTTTAACAAATCCACGCCTTGAAAAAATATTCTTTAAAAAATACACGCCTTGAAAAAATATTCTTTAAAAAATCCACGCCTTGAAAAAATATTCTTTAACAAATCCACGCCTTGAAAAAATATTCTTTAAAAAATACACGCCTTGAAAAAATATTCTTTAAAAAATCCACGCCTTGAAAAAATATTCTTTAAAAAATCCACGCCTTGAAAAAATATTCTTTAAAAAATCCACGCCTTGAAAAAATATTCTTTAAAAAATCCACGCCTTGAAAAAATATTCTTTAAAAAATCCACGCCTTGAAAAAATATTCTTTAAAAAATCCACGCCTTGAAAAAATATTCTTTAAAAAATCCACGCCTTGAAAAAATATTCTTTAAAAAATCCACGCCTTGAAAAAATATTCTTTAAAAAATACACGCCTTGAAAAAATATTCTTTAAAAAATCCACGCCTTGAAAAAATATTCTTTAAAAAATCCACGCCTTGAAAAAATATTCTTTAAAAAATCCACGCCTTAAAAAAATATTCTTTAAAAAATCCACGCCTTGAAAAAATATTCTTTAAAAAATCCACGCCTTGAAAAAATATTTTTTAAAAAATCCACACCTTGAAAAAATATTCTTTTAAAAATCCACGCCTTGAAAAAATATTCTTTAAAAAATCCACGCCTTGAAAAAATATTCTTTAAAAAATCCACGCCTTGAAAAAATATTCTTTAAAAAATCCACGCTTTGAAAAATATTCTTTAAAAAATCCACGCCTTGAAAAAATATTCTTTAAAAAATCCACGCCTTGAAAAAATATTCTTTAAAAAATCCACGCCTTGAAAAAATATTCTTTAAAAAATCCACGCCTTGAAAAAATATTCTTTAAAAAATCCACGCCTTGAAAAAATATTCTTTAAAAAATCCACGCCTTGAAAAAATATTCTTTAAAAAATCCACGCCTTGAAAAAATATTCTTTAAAAAATCCACGCCTTGAAAAAATATTCTTTAAAAAATCCACGCCTTGAAAAAATATTCTTTAAAAAATCCACGCCTTGAAAAAATATTCTTTAAAAAATCCACGCCTTGAAAAAATATTCTTTAAAAAATCCACGCCTTGAAAAAATATTCTTTAAAAAATCCACGCCTTGAAAAAATATTCTTTAAAAAATCCACGCCTTGAAAAAATATTCTTTAAAAAATCCACGCCTTGAAAAAATATTCTTTAAAAAATCCACGCCTTGAAAAAATATTCTTTAAAAAATCCACGCCTTGAAAAAATATTCCTTAAAAAATCCACGCCTTGAAAAAATATTCTTTAAAAAATCCACGCCTTGAAAAAATATTCTTTAAAAAATCCACGCCTTGAAAAAATATTCTTTAAAAAATCCACGCCTTGAAAAAATATTCTTTAAAAAATCCACGCCTTGAAAAAATATTCTTTAAAAAATCCACGCCTTGAAAAAATATTCTTTAAAAAATCCACGCCTTGAAAAAATATTCTTTAAAAAATCCACGCCTTGAAAAAATATTCTTTAAAAAATCCACGCCTTGAAAAAATATTCTTTAAAAAATCCACGCCTTGAAAAAAATATTCTTTAAATTTTTTTTTTCAAATCCAATATCACCAATTTTTATTAACATTTATTTTTAATAAAATATAAACAATAACCACTTACAATAATAATTTTCTCATATTTGTTAATTAATTTGTTTATGTTTGTGCTTATTTAAAAATAATAAAAAATATCTATTTTTTATTTCTTAAACAAATCCAAAATATTTTTTTTTCACAAAATAAAAATATTGGACATCATATTGGCATCCGTGTGGCTACTAAATAAAATAATATTTATTAACAACGAAAAAACACACACACATTCTAGAATTATTATGTTTTGTTTATAATAAACAAAAGCATTTTTTTTCTTTCAAATTCGCGTCTGCTGAAAAATAGCCTTCATTTCGTAATAGGTTTTTCACTTTGTTTATTTTTTTGTTTTCTTCTTCATCTTTTCTTTATTTGCAAATTCTACACACAATGACATTGACTTTGAACAGCATCGCAATGTTTGTTTTGTTGTTAATTTGTAGCTTTTTTATTTATTTTTTTTTTTTTTTGTAATTTCGAAAATTATAAAATTCCCACAAGATAATCGGCCGACCGCCACACACTCGAATTCATCTTCGAACTAAACTAACGACGACAAACCCAAACGATCTTGCAAATAAATTGTAATCGCACTAAATAATTGAAGAAAAAAACAAAACAAAAAACAATAACAACAACTTGCAAAGTGATAACAAAATCGGTCAATAGTCTAGCGGAGCTCTCGGTGACTGACTGCTTCGATTAGATGAGACTATTTTTTGGTGTTGTTGTTGTTGTTTAGAAAATTAAATTAGAATCGAGGGAAAAAGTTCGCCACGCCACGCCAAGATATCAACAAATCAAAAAACAAAATAAATTTAATTGATTTGCAATCAAAATTGTAACGATAATCTATGTATCGGAGGCAATAACAATCGAACGAATTTGCCCGTGCCACTACTGTCGAATCGAATAACAACCCTCAATTGGGTTTTCTTTACAATCGATGTCCTCCTTTCCGATTTTTGTTTTTTTCCAATTTTTTTTTTTTTTTTTTTTATTTTTTTTTTTATTTTATTTTTCAATTTTTTCTTGTTGTTTTAGTTATGTTCGGTAATAACGCCACAATTGACCGTAATTGAATGAAAATATTTTGTCATTTGACTGAATGTTTTATATGAAATGTTTCATAAAAACGCATTCAAATGCAGCTACCTTTAAAAAAAAACACTCACCTAATCAAGAGCAGAAAATCGCACCACAAAAAATAATAAATAACAACAAAAGAGCTGAGAGGAAAAACAACAAAAACAACTAACTAGACATGAAATAAATTTATCTGAATTAAAAAAACAACAACAAAAATAAACAAAATTATTGAGTGTGTGTTATTTTCGTATTCATATCTATGAATAACAACCACACAGTATTTGGCCATGGT